GGAAGTGGCTTAAGCTTCTAATAGTGCAGTGCTTTAACCCGCTGCGCCACCAGGGAGGGCCACGTTTTGTTTTTTTCTTTGTTAATTGCTTATTCTTCCCAAGGAGAATAAAAGTTCCCCGAGGGCCTGCATTTACTGTCTTTTTTATTCAGGGCTCTATTTCCATTAACTAGACTAGTACCTGGGGGTAACAGGTAGGTACTCGATTTTTAGTGAATAAGCAAAATATCCTCCATTAATTTCCAATCCCACTTTTCATATTACAGTTGGTAGTTAACACATCCTACTATAATAAAGATGATCATTTTCAGTCAAATTGGTCAACAGCATCCCATGATAAATGATATTTATGCACAGAAATGGATTTTAAAATAACCTAATAATGGGCATAAAGGGAGAAGGATCTAGCACTAATTTTCTTTCCACTGATATCCAGAAATGGATGAATTTCACTATTTTAGATACACTGGCCACACTAAATTTTCCATTGCAGTAAAAGACATGCCAGAAGTTACAAATAACAAGACCTGGTGTAGACACACAAGTCAATGTAAGGAAGTGGGAAATGTGGTTTTAATATGAGATTGTGAAATGTCAGATGGAAAACAAATTCTAAATAGCAGCATATTTGATACTCACACAATCTAATGACAGAAAAATCACACCTACATATTGCTTTTAATTACTAACTTTCTACCTTGCTAAGGAGCAAACATAGAATTCCCGATTTTATTCTTTCACATTGTACCCTTTGATACTGGAAAAAACAATAACAAAGGAGGGGGATCAAAGATGGGGCTACAGCCTGGGGGAGGAGACAGTGTGAGAGCCATTTGCACAGTCCTGTACAGAGCAGAATAACTAGCACAGTTGCTAAATTTCAACTCAATGAAATCTCTAGCACCAGAACGAGCCCTAACACTTGCTATAAATGTGATCTCATCTTCTGATACACAGCAGCAAGCAGAGAGAGGACTTGGAAAATAGCACAACATACAAACATGAGGTAGGAACCAGGGACAGAAAAAAACCTTCTTTTCCTCAGTCACTTGCAATTAAAAATTTCGAGACTTTACTATAATATCACTTGGGATTTGTTAACACTTAAGTCAAAACAAACAAACAAAAAGCATTGCTTTGCCTTGCTGCAAAGAGGTAAGACAAAACACAATAAAGAAGTCTGTACACTCTCAGTAGTGAGTAGATTTCTGTCAGCATTGTTATCATCTGAGGCCCATTTCACTGCACATTTAGAGGCAAGGAAAAAATGGGAAGTAGTTGCACCTTTTCTAGATCATTCTCCCAGTGTACAATAGCCTGACTGCACAGAACCACAGACAAATATTATCTGCTATCGACTGGATGATCATTTACTAGCGCAAAATAGATTTGCAGATGAAGAAGCAAAAATATTCATTAGGCGAAAGCTCATAACATAAAAGGTGCTTTGCTCCATCAGGCACAGAAAGCATTTTTTCCTAATAATAAAAAATAAATGTGTAAAGAAATAAGGAAAAAAGCAACAGCCATCCAATGAAGAAATAACTCTTTTCCCATTGCTTTCCAGCACATTGGTTAATGTTCCTGGTTCTCCACAAACATGAATACATACCTCACACTCTACTAAGAGAATTACGGCAGGAAATTGTATGGAGTAGGATGTATAAATTGAGATAACCATATAAAAAGATTGTAGTGTCATAAATAAGGCAAAGAAAGCAGATTAGCAGATGTCCTGGCTTCCTCTCTCGCAGGTAATGACTTCCACTTGTTACTGTTGAACATTCATCACAGGGGACTTCGCTTAGACTAGGGGGGGTGCTTCCTGACTTGACCCCTAGCTCAGCACCAAGCCTGTACTATGAAAGGTGCTCAGATGCGCCTTGACAAAATAAATATATGTCACGCTGTCTTTGTCTTCCAAAATAACATTAAAAGTGCCCAGTTGTTGGCCCTCCCTGGTGGCACAGCGGGTTAAAGCACAGCCCTGAGAATCTAAAGCCGCTTCCGCATGAGTTCGATTCCCGCCTGCCCCGGAGGTGACCACATGGCGCGGCAGACCTCTCCTGACCCGCCCGCTGCTCCCCTCAGCAGTGTACTTCGTGGATCTGCCTGTTCTGCTCCCCACTCTGTCTCTGGTGAAGCCTCTCACCGTCCCTGAGCCTCTGGCCTGTACCCCAGTTCTGTATGCACAAATAAATAAATCTTTAAAAAAAAAAGTGCCCAGTTGTTAGCAGGCTGTGATGACACCTCTTCTTTGCACCCCACAAAGTCTCCTTTTCAGTCCTCAGTAACTCAGCTTGTGTGCGTCATCTCAGACCCTCGCCCCGACATTCTCTCTGCTGGTTCCCTTGCTGACAGTGCGTTGAGAGCATTCACGGACCCCACATCACTTCTGTTCCTTTTCTTTTCCGTCTCCTATCTGGATGCTTTCTTCTTTACCTTGTGGGTGTTAAAAATTAAAATTCATCCCACCACATTTACAGGTTTAATTGGCTTTAATACATGATTCATGCATCAGGCAGCTTCCCACATACTGTTACAAACTGTTACAGTCACCTCCAGTAAATGTGGGGGCACCAGGGCCCCTGCCCTGCCTGAGGAAGGGCGGAGCTGAGCCCTGGGGTGCAGCTACAGGAGACTTGGGGGCGTTGGAGCAGACACTGGAATAGAGAGGTGTCAAGAAGTCTTGCTTATTTCTTACCCTGGGACGTTCAACAGGGACCTGCGGGACACGGAGGAAATGCCGGGGTGCGAGACCCACGGGGCGGCTGACAACGGCAGCCTTTAGCTTGCCTTGTACTTTGGCTTTGCTCTTTTGCTTCTACATGTTTCTTGTCTCTTCTGCCCCTTTCCTCTGGATCCGCACCAGACCCGTAAGTCTCTGCTTTAGGTTGCGTAAAGATTTTTGGGACTCAGCAGCTGCACTCTGCGCCAGCCGTCACTGGGGGGGCTTTCACCCACAAGCAAGTGGGTACCTTGGTGTTTTACTGAGAAACTGTTCTCGTTTCTCTACACACACTATCCTATTCACCTGCTTTCACACTAAGAGAAGGCTTTGTCCTTACGTGGCAGATCGCAGAACCTACTGACAGCGGCAGGCGTGTCTGGCCTCAGGCACCCTCAGTCTTCTCACTCAGAAGACCAAGTAGGCACTCTCTGGCAGGCACTGGGCAAAGTAGGAGGGTTTAGGAACAGATAGAGGGTGGGATGCATTTATTTTTATTTTTAAGATTTATTTCTGCATACAGAACTGGGGTACAAGCCACAAGTGCAGGGGAGGCGAGAGGATTCCCCAGAGACAGAGTGGGGAGCAAAACAGGCCGATCTGTTAAGTACACTGCTGAGGGGAGCAGCAGGAGAGACAGGAGAGGTCTGTTGTCTGTGTGGGTCAGCTCCCTGGGGGCCTGGGGCGGCTAGGGATAGATCAGGCACCTAAGTGGCCCTGGCCAGCTTGCTGCTCCACTAGGGAGGGCCGAAGGCGGTTATTAGCCAAAGAAAAAAAGTATTTGGGGCAAAGGAGCAGAGCTATCTCCTCTG